CGAGCAGGATCAAATAAGTGCTTAGTGCAAACAGGTACAAAAAGAACACTACCCCTGCAACGATACCATCTTTGATACCAAGACCAATCAAGCCAAGCAAGCCAGCGGCAAGTGAGAAAGCAATACCGCCAACGAGCCTGGTCGCTATGAATTGGTTCATTGCAGAGAAGGCCATTGAAATGAGGTAGTAAGAACCACCACATGTTATCCATGTGCCACAAATGCCTGATATTAAAAGGGAAATCATCAAAGCTAGTGTAGCAGAATGCTGAGCTGTGCGGCTCATATTCCCACTCAAGTAGAGACCTTTACCAGTGCTTGTTAACAACAGGATATCCAAAAGTGCTGGTATTGCGAAAACACTCAAGAAAGTAAATCTCATTGCTCCAGAAAGACCCTTGGCTTTAAAATCTCCGATATCGATCTTTGCAGCTGCATAAGCTGAGGGAGTTGAGGGATCAGCGTCGGTCCAAATGGGAGGCTCCCGGCCAGGTTGGTGATGACAAGCCCGATACCGATCCGAAAGTAATTTACCGAAACAACTAGGAGTCATGTCGAAGTAAGACTCGCATCGAGCCCCCGTTGCAAAAAGCTCTGCAAAGGCAGCCGCCTGATCGCTCTGATCATTGAACAAGGTGTTTCTATCGGTAACTTCAACATATGCCTCGTCAAACGCGTGCTTTCGAAAAACAGAAAATAAAGCAAGACAAATAATGTCAATGCGTGCATCAATCTTTTTCGCCTCCATAATTTCAATCAGGGCCTTCGTAATAGTCTGAAGTGTATTCAACCTTCTTTCTTTCAATACAATAGTGATTGAATCATTGATCTGGTTGAAGACGTACAGAGCACTCTCCTCAGAAGGATGCTGTGAGTTGTTGTCCACGTGCCATTTCGATCTTATTGCTATGAGATCTTGTGGAGATTTTTGATTCCCTAGATAACCAACAGAACAGGCATCTTTCATCTGAGTAAAATCTGTGGAATCTAGTAATTCTCTTTCGCATGCAAATATTATCGAGTCGATCAAATCCCCGTTACCCTTGACTGATGATAATTGTAATGTCTGGAGAAATCTCAGGAGCTCTGATGGTGAAAGAGAGCTTATGTCATTGAGCAATCGTGGAGGTAGGTATGAGTCCGAATGTGTTAACCACTGCCAAAATCCTTTCTCTGCCTCGAATGATTCGTGGCGAGGACAGCCACGACTTGATAAGAATGTATGCAAGATTGTTCCACTGAGATCTTGAACATTTCTTGACATGAAAATGTCAAGCTTGGCCCGTTCTTCAAAACCAAATACTGCCCAGTAACGACTTTCATTCTGGTACTGCAATCCCGAATCAAGGCCCTTGTACACTCTGATCAAGTCTGTGGTGGCAGAATCATCAGCTAAGCCACAAAGTTGATTCGCGAGTTCTTGTATCGCTGCATGCCATGTTGAAAGCTCCACTATCCCCGGCTGATTACAAAATTGGTTTAATTTGCCACCAATTTCTTTTAATACAGTGTTTTCGATCGGGTCAAGAAGATCAAGGGATCTGAGCTTTCTTTGTGATAGGAGGATTTCGTCAAAAGATTTCCTGGAAGCATGAACTCCGAGTGGAAAGCATCCGAGGAAGTCGTTAGATGACCCACTGGGAGACGTTGATATGGGATTCCCAGGCGTTTGATTGAGATACGAATATGGACCATCGGAGAATCTGTGGTTCGGTGCGTGAGAGGATAAAAGTGATTCTGCCGGTGTGAGAGATCTGCTTGAAAACCCCGGTAGGTTAAAATCAGATGAATTTCTTGGTAGGTCTAGAGGCACTTGCGAAGTAGCCGAGGGCATGTGAATATCTACATCGACAAATGATTGCTGGTTCGATTTGCCCGATGGCTGGAGGTCGACTTCGATGGAGAGCGCCCCAAGAATGTTCTCGGCTAGATCCGACATTTCTGGTATATACTCATTGGCAATCTTAACCAGCGTTAGTAAGCTTTCTTGTAGATAATTAAGGAGTGAATTTTTTGTTTAGTGAACAAAGATGGAGTGCTGTGTTAGATGATGCACTTACAGTATGGTTCAGACGCCACTTTTTATGTGCCTCCATGACTCCAGGCTCCTTGAGCCATGAAAAGGCTCCCAACGGTTCCTTCTGGTCTATGCCATGAGCCGTTGAAGTTAAATCAGAGCTTGAACCGATCCATGGTGATAGCGCGCTGTAGAACTTTGACCATTGGTAGGACCTTCTAACAACGGCGTTTGTCGGATTTACCCCATCATCCAAAGTCTCCCACAAGCAGACAACGAATGGCCGGAGGCATGCTTGGGAAACAAAAGCTTTAATGGTAGGTCTCATCTCTTGCATCTGAAACGCATCCCGTTCGTCCCCATTTGATGATATTGTGCCATTTCTTATTATCAGCCCAGCTACTTCATTCAGTTCTGCTAATTTAGGATCATGTAAAAATCCAGGAGATGATGTTTCGAGATAGGTCTGGAATCCAAGTTTATGAATGAAGGTAATGAACTCGACGACCATTGGGCTTGACAATTGATCGTGCCAGTTACTAATTAGAATTCCAGAAAAACAGCAATCACTACCGGACGCTGTTGATGAAGTTAGCAGCTTAGTGATCCAGGCAACAGCACCTTCGAGCGCCGCTGAATCTTTGCATTCCTGCGGCACAACATGGCTTATATCAAGTCTTGCTAGGACCTGTGGCGGTTTATAGTGAGGCCCAGATGAAAGAACCTGAATTACATTCTCCTGAAAGGCATCGACAACAAGAAGGTCCCATTGCGCCAACACTTGCAGATCTTCACTTGTTGGCGTATGACTGAACCCGCCTAAGTATACTCCAAAGCTTTCGGGCTTCTTCTCGACAGCGACGACTTTATAATGTGATAGTACAGAGATAGTCTTGACAAGATACTTCTTGATGGACGCAGGAACAGATTGTTGTCCAGATTTCCATTTCTACAAACAGAAGAACGTTAGCTATAGATGTCGACAGCTATGAAGTCTTATCATATAAGAAGACTATAGCGTCTGCGATAAGGTATGAAGATAGCCTTTGCTATTTTACTTACTCGATAACCCTTTATTGAACTCTGTAGTGCGAGATAAGATATGAAGCTCAAGCCAAGACCAACAGAAGCAAGGATAAATGCAACAAGAATCTGTTTAAAAATTAACAGGGGAAACAACCAGACGTATGGGAAAGCTCACAAACTGCCACCAATATTTTGTTAAGTCCGCCCAAGAGGCAGCTTCAAGGCCTGTGATTTGAGCCATAGATGATATGAAGAAGGCCGAAGAACGAGGAGTTCTTCAGAAAGAACGAAAGTGAACGGCAACGAATAACATGTGGTAAGTGAAAGTAAACGTTACAAGTCAAGGAAAGAAACCATCAGAAGAAGTTGCGGTGGAGCACATCCGTCATAATAAAAGTCAGATCTACGACAAGATTTGCATTAAGATGGTGTGGGCGGTAGACAGCGCCGAGGATACAGAGATTGGGCACCCCCCAAGTAGGTCTAGGTAGCTACCAATGTTACTTACTCGTAGATACTTACTAGGTAGGACTTTTCAGCCCATGCTCTATAGTGCGGGTAGTAGTATCCAGGAATAGGATTATTTGCGAGTTTTCTGTTCTCGCGACTACGCCTGATTTCAAATGCTTGGCAACCCGTATCCGGAAACTGTCAAAATCGTTCGTTACAGTCGCTCCCTGAGGGGTCTCTGTACCAAACATTCAGCCTGGTAACGTAGTTTGCAGATACGGGGGACGCCTAGTAGAAATTGATACCTTGAACCCCAAATCCGTAAACACGTGGCCCTACACCGCAGGTGGGATTCAAAGACCAAAATACACTGGAAAGAAAGCAAATATTGAATTTCCGAAGGAATACCTGGTAGCTGCAGATTGTTGGATGATGATGCCATACGCACATTGTCAGCACGGAGAGTACACATCGTACGCCACAGAAGGATGTTAGAACATTCGATACCCGAGGGATCAATGTTTGACAGAACAATTGTCAAATTCCGCATATATTGAGCATATTGACTCAAGGTTCAGCTTCGTATCGTGCACGCACGATGCGTTTTCGCTATAGGGAGGATGCATTGGGCATGTGGCGGTTAGGGATCTAGAGGATGTGGTGCAACTGTGAGTTGAGATGATTTTTGGAATTATGGGGTGCCTTGGTGGGAAGGCTAAAGGGATAGACCAGCCTCTCATACGCCTTCTCGAGGTGAAGAGCGAACAAAGCGAACAAAGCTTGCGATCGTTTCGTTTCAGGCGGACCTGGCGAGCCTGGCTATGGTAGACTCGGTGGTGGATCGGTGGAGTTGGTGGAGTTAGTGGGCTACTTAGTCCTTACTCTCGAGTCACTGTAGCATTCGTCTGGGATTGAACAGATGAAAGGGTTTGGCGATGGAGTAACTACTAACTCGCTACGACTATACGACTGCCACAATGGTTTGTGTCGCCAGCCGGAGATGAAGGGGCCTCGGGGGCGAGGGGTTTTTAGGTCGGACTTCGGGTTCGGAAAATCTTTTTACTTAATCATGTCTAAAAGAGTACTAGCGCCCCACATCATAGAGATTTGCCTTGGAGTTACTTCGGTGCCAAGACTTTAGGTCGTTTACTCCGTACATGAACATCTGCTAAATCTCGTCCAGGTAAGTTTCTATATATATCTTCATTTATCTTCATTTATCTACGTTAATCTACATTAATATACATTTGTTCCTAAAGGGGCAGTTATATATTAGCCTCATCGGGCCTGTCCCTTTACAAGGGCTTCCGAAAGCTTGTTTTTTCTCCTTGAGACACCACTTGGATGGTTGGGCCACTCTCATCGCAACTTTAATATAACATCCTGCTCGCATACCAGTAATACCACACTAACCATCCATTGGACCATCATGCTTACTGCCGCCCCCAGCAAGCCTTCCCTTCCCCATGAGTTTTTATACCCTCCTAGTCCTAGTCGCTTACACACAATGGAACAGGCCTCCAGATATTTCCCCAAGACAATAGCTACTGCAGCCACATTTTGGCCCTCATTTGGCCAACACTTGACCATCGTTACTGTTCGGATTGCTACGTCCAGTTTTCAGATACCATGTGTCATTCAGCTCCTCTTCAATTTTCGTGTGGATTGGACGAGCTCAGCCCTTCCTGCTGTCATGTCGGCTATTTCATGTTCTGGGACGTCTTAAAACACATCCTTGTTCGATTTTTCATCTATCTTCCTTCCTAACTCATTTCTTTTGCATATTCTTCGCCTCATGAGCTTTATCTAAGACCATACGCGGCTTTGGATCCCGTGTTCAACCTGTAGCCGTAAAGCTCGTGTCCGAGGCCTTGGTGGAAAGCGCGATCGAACCTATGGCGCTGTGGCAAGTAACGTTGTCCTTGGCCGTCAGATTTCGTGCCTAGATTCAATAGTCTCTTCTATGCGGTAACTTACTCATGAGTGAGATGAGAATTTTACGTGCTTGGTAGCTTGTTGCTTCATTTCATTTTACTTCTTAAGTCGGGACAGGTACACCTCTCGTTTTACGATATTCATCACCATCCATGTTTCTCTTTCTTTTCTCACTTTGATACCAAACAACACTCGTTAAAACAAAAATTCGTGATCCAAACTTTATTCTTTTAATCGGTCTTCTTTAAACTCTCAAGATGGTGCAATTGTACCACCTCGTTACCCATATTCTTCCTTTGAGCTTGTTCCTAGATGCAGCTCTTGGCCATCGGGCTCATCGCCGGAATTCCACTGACGCGGATCCCCCTCAATCAGAATCAGTTGCGGTTACCAATGCTCAGGCTATTATGACCTCGACAGTTCCTGCCGCACCCCTCGCTACGGTATCCATTGGAGAGGTAGCTGTCCTTGCCAATACTACTGTTGCTACCCCCCCTAAAGCAGAGGCGATTATTGCTACTGATGCAGTCGATACTGTCAGCAGTAAAGTTCTGGTCATTGCACGAGATTCAGTCTCCGCATACTCTGCTTGGAGTGGGCTTAATGATCGAGGAATCCCATATGAAACCTTGATCGTTCCTGCAGCTGGTACAGCACTACCAAGCTTGAACAGCTCAGAAACTCAAGGAAATTATGGACTCATTGTTGTTATGTCAGAACTGAGTTACTCCTACCCTGACGTGGGGTATCAAAGTGCACTTACAGCCGACCAATGGCAAGCAATCTACAACTATCAAAGCGCCTTTCGCGTTCGGCTGGTCAGGCTCGATTCTTACCCATCTGCTGCATTTGGTACAGAGGCATTAGGAGCTTGTTGTAACAACGGTGTTGAGCAGCTTGTTTCCATTTCCGACAACTCAGCCTTCCCTAAGGCGGGACTCAAGACCGGTGCCACCATGAGTACCAAGGGCATATACCACTATCCTACTAAAATCACAAACTCAACTTTGGCAAAGGAATTCTTACAACTAGGACCCTCTTCCGATGGCCAGTTCACCACCGCAAGTACAGCAGGAGTGATTAACAATATTAATGGTAGAGAACAAATGGTGTTTTACATTCCATTTGCCACAGATTGGGCTGTCACTTCTGTATGGTTGCAACATGCTTGGATCGACTGGGGCACAAGAAGTCTCTACACTGGATACAGAAGAGCACTATTTGGCACACAGATTGACGACATGTTCTTGGAGTCAGATATTTATTCACCTACCGGGACGACTTACCGCATTGGCACGGCCGATTTGGCTCAGCATATTACATTCATGGGTCAGATCAACTCTAAACTAAATGCTGGAAGTAATTGGTTCATTGAAGTTGGACATAATGGCAATGGAAATGTCGAATCAGCCAATGAAATCGCCGCAAGTGAAAGTGTATGTATTCCTGTCATCATGTGACTCTTACTTTATTCTCTCCACTTTTTGATCTCGTTTGCGTTCCAATTTCAGCCCGCTGAATGAAGACTAACTTTTGAATTCAGGTCTGTTCTCCTGGACCCATTGAGTATGGCGAACAAATCGATACACCATTGGAGTGGATCAAGCCTATTGGAACCGGAACCGATATCTGGCCCAAATCGTCGGTTCTCTATCCCAATTATACCACCGAATGCTTAAGCGACGATCCTTTGCTCGTGTGGTGGACCACCCCTTCCAATCTTAATGCCTATGCACACATTTCCCACACTTTCACACACGAGGATCAAAACAACGCGACTTACGCCGATGTATACAGAGAAATGACATGGAATCAAGCCTGGCTTACTGCCACCGGAATTGCCAATGCAGACAAGTTCAGTTCTAAAGGACTTATTCCACCAGCCATCACGGGGCTTCACAATGGTGATGCGCTTAAAGCCTGGGCTGACAGCGGTATCACTCACGCAGTTGGAGACAACACTCGAGCAGCTCTCTTGAATACTGTAAGTGTTGCTCCGTGCAATATTTTCGGCGAAACCCTCTGCCATTTGTTGCACAAACCTTCATTCACACAAGACCGCCTGAGCTTTGCTAATGTGAACACAGGATAATGAGCATTGGCCTTTATTCACAACAGTTGCGGCCAACGGCTATGCTGGTATCCAAGTAACCCCAAGATGGGCAACCAACATTTACTACAATGTAAGTTCGACTTGATCAAGTAGAGCGGCTAGATCTGACAAGAATTAGTGCGATTCGCCTGATTGTACCGTGTTGGAATGGATCAACACCAGTGCCGGATCCGGTGATATAAATACTCTCCTTGAGGTTGAGAAACAGACAAATGTCAGACATTTGTTGGGTCTTCATCATGATGCCTACATGTTAGTGCCACATTCCGCTTTTCTCTTGTGCATGTTTGCTAATCCTCTGAAACAGGTTCCATCAAGCCAATTGTAAGTCATGGCCCGTCCTTCTGTTCATTCTTCCTCTCCCCACAGTTCGCTTGATGTGGTATCCAAAAAGGCCACTATAATAAGCACTTACTAATTCATTGATGCTTTAGTGCGCTACACAGGAGCGGCAACATACACTATCAATGGAGTGACAGCACAACGTTCGCTGCTCATGGCATGGGTTGAGACAGTGACTCAGGAATTCGTCCGATTGTGAGTTTTGTTTCTGCGATGATTTCATCAGTACTGACCGGATATAGGGTGGATTGGCCTCTCATCACCCACAAGCATGACGATGTAAGTGCCGAAGCTCCTGTTAATCGTACATTTTCTAACCGGTCATCAGCTTGCTGCCATATTCGTCAATCGAATGACACGAGATTCTTGTGGAGCTAGCTTGTCGTATCAACTTGATACTGCTAGCTCATCAATCACGGGCTTCACGCTCTCCGCAAATGGCAACACCTGCTCAACACCGCTCCCGGTCACTGTCCCAGGTTCAGTCACCGATACCAAAGGGGCCACTGTCGAGCAAATTGGTAACGACCCTACAACATTGTGGGTCACTTTGTCTGGCGCACCTGTCAGCTTTACTCTCACCACACCAATTCCCATAACGAGCAGCTAAGCACGCCAGTCTCACTCAGCATAACGCAAGAATAATTATGGTCTGGTCCCAGGAGGGGGACTAGGAAGGAGCACTTACTGCCAGTATTTTTTGCTTTGTGTTGTCAATTTTCTCTTCTTATCAGTGGAACGCGTTGTTACGCTATCACAGTTCTTGGGTCAAAAAGTTTCGTGCTCTTCCTACATACTTAAAGTAGGATTATCACCGTTCAGATAATGAAACATTCTTTCTTAATGGGAAACTTAAAATTCCATCTATCATATATCATTTGTTCTACGTCTAATTTGCCTTTTCCTCATTATCCAAAGCATGAATGTGACCCTGCTACGATTCTTTTGAGTTATCTCCTGCTTGATCAGTGAGCCAAGATGTACATCACTTTGAACGATGTGTCAATAAATTCAAAATATCGATATCACCTCCCAGATTAGGTTTATTGAATACCCTTGAAATAATTTATGGGTCCGGAAGATTCGGATTACACAACATGTACTTCTGTACCATGCATGCCACAATCACACAATCACACCGTATCCGTACCGATCCCCCGCAAAAAAAAAAAGTCTCCTAGCTTACCGGAGCGCCTACCGCTTTTCTCTGCCGTCTCATTCGGATACTAATTTCTGGATACGAGCCGCCGCAGTTGTTTCATTAAATTTGGAATTTTTGAATGCGCATATACAACGATTCAGCGATCAGAGATTATTTTTTTAACAAACGCAGAAGAAACTGCAAGCTAGAAACGAGGCATTAGACCACCCGCTTAGACCTCGGAGATCTACCCAAGTTTATTTTTATTTTTACGACTATGCATGGATACATGTGGCCAAAAACTCGGATTTTGCTTGGCGGTACAGCGGCTCGAACTGCCTAGTACCCAGGGGCCAGAACGCTACATCACTAGCATTCCAGCTCTTCCAGGCTTCGATCGAAAAACGCACACTAACAGCGTCCCATATAATGTATCACAGCCCCTGGAATGCCGTATCCATTACCCATAATACCACTGGGCATCCGGGGCCAATGTGTCTAGAAGTCTTCGACTAATTTCGCACTGTTGTGATAGGCGTTCGATGCGATGAACACTTCAGGTTTCCATAATAGTGCCAAAGCTAAAAAATTCTACTTAACCTAATGGAATGTGATTTTAAATCGGGGTCCTAGTCGCTCGAAAATTGAAGGTTGAAACATATGCTCTTTGACCCTATCACCAAAACGGGACACCCCTTCCGTTTCTGGAAGGCTACCCTTAGCGAGCTTGCACGCTTGGCGCCGTGTGGTTGGGGGTCAATGTGCGCCAAGAGCCATCTATGCTATACCCTATGGATTAAGAAACCCGAGGTATACTGTACATGACATGAGAATCCTATTCTCATTTTTCATTATTGGAGCTTCGGGAGAGGGTGGGTAACTCCAAGCAAAAAAAAAAAACATTACACCACCGCAATCCGCAAATGGCAGTGTAAGTTTTCAGCTTGAAAATTCGGTGACAGCAAATGCATAGGCACTGTAAGCAGTTTTACGAGGCTATTTCGTTTTCGAACTGGAGGGGATTACTTTTCGCACTTGATCAGCAGCTTTGAGGAGGCTGTGCGTATTGAATGAGATGGCGTTTTTGGGGTTACCCAAGGATTCACAGGGGGATTTTACTATATAGGATCGCCTAAGAGAATCTCATCATGACACGCCATGCAACGAAAACGTCGCTATCGAAGTGCCGCAAAAAAAAACTTCTCGCTGCCAAGATAATCATCTGTTGTTCATTTTTATTCTTTTCCAGGGTCCCAAACAGAGATTTTTTCTCCGAGGCTCTCACTACATTATCAGGGATATTTGAAGCTGCCTTGAGTCCTTGACGGCTGTACTGTCGAATCGGATTACTGCCAGAAACGACATGTCCTCTGGAGGAGTATTCAAATCACCTCTCACGAGCGGCGAGATCGCCGTCAACACACCACTCATGGCTTCCAAAGAACAGAAACCTGTTAATCCACATAAGATTTTCACCAGGAAATGCAACATTATTCTTGGTTTAATATTCCTCTTTCTCCTGGCAATAGGCTTGGCTCTGGGCCTGACATTCGGTTTACGACATCACGATTCCTCGCCCTCAGAACCCACTCCTACTTCACCATCAAACCCGCTCCCTCCTACCAACGGCTCATTTTGGACCCCAAATCTCAACGCTTCCAATACGTGGAACATCGAGTTACTAGCGGCGCTCGATCCCGCCAACATCTATCCGAACACAACAATCTATGACATCGATCTCTTCCTTTCGGCCAATACCACCCCCTCGATAATCAGTACCTTACATTCGCGATCCCACAAAGTAATCTGTTATTTCTCGGCCGGCACCATCGAGAACTTCCGTCCCGACACGAGTCGCTTCCTTCCTTCCGACTATGGCAAAGTCCTTCCTGACTGGCCAAACGAGTATTGGGCTAACACTTCCTCACCAAATGTGCGCGCCATCATGCAATCACGCCTGGACATGGCGGTCAATCAATCATGCGATGCGGTTGATCCCGACAACGTCGATGGGTATTCCAATGACAACGGGCTCAAGCTAACAGAACAAGACTCTATTGATTACATGCAGTGGTTGTCGGCTGAGGCCCACACCCGGGGTTTGGGGATTGGTCTGAAGAATGCTGGCGAGATCATCGATCGTGTGGTGGACTATGTGCAGTTTGCTGTCAACGAGCAGTGCGTGCAGTACGAAGAATGTGACACATGGCAGACATTCATTGACAATGGTAAGCCCGTATTCAACATCGAATACCCCAAAGATGCACCCAAGGTTAGTTCAGCGGAAAAAACAAAAGTTTGTGATGGTTCTGGCATACAGGCAGATGGATTTTTCACCATCATCAAAAAGATGGAGCTGGATGATTGGGTAGAGGCCTGCTGAATGGCTCTTGGCGTTGCAAATATACAGGGAGGTGGATTTTAAGCGGAATGTAATACTTTAGCCTGAAAAGAATACGATGTGGCTGAAAGAAATCGTGTACCAATGAAGCTTCGCACATGCCTCTTCGTAGCTATTTTAATCCTTTGCATGCTTAAATTAAGCATGTCAACTAGAAAATTTAGTCGTTTTCAAACAGGTGGCAGAAATTGCATGGCATAAGGAAACATAGTGGAGTCAGAGCAAACACTCTAGACTGCCATGATATCCGAACAAATCTCGATCTTTGTTTGCATCATTCGAGCGTCTGTGAAAAAGGACATGGGAGAGTGAAAAAGTACATGGTACGATGAAAAGTACATGGGACTGTGTGGGGATCCCTGCGGAAATCCCCAAGTTATGACACATAGAAATTCGGACCGCAGACGACGACTGGGATTGGTGCGGCAGCTAACTCTATTTCACCATAAGCAAGCAATATACCAGAATCGCAGCATGTTCTCTTTTGAGCAGGTTCTTTGCCTGTAGGATTCCGACCCAAGTAACAGCTTCCACTTTGGACACAAATCCTCTTGCCTAATGTACATTGTACATCCGTAGACACAACATTAGGATGATGCTGTGCATAAGCCCTACAGCTCAAATGATACCTACCCTTTGCGGCTCTTCATTTATCTCCGCGGTAGTATCGACTCCTGATCAAGGAACGAACCTTCCTACTCTAGGTGAATATTGGTTGCACAATAAACAAGATTGGACGAAAGTGGATAAGTCTGGCATAAACGATGCAACTTTAATCTGACCAGCATGTCGGGCGTATTATTTTGGACCCTGTCGAGCTACGACGAAAAATACAAGGGGTCCTTACGATTGCGGGGTATCTAAGACATCCTGACATCGACAGGCGAGAAAGGGTGTTATGATTTACAGAATCGCTGCAGGTCGAATGCAACGACTCAGCTGGGTTCCTGATCTAGCCGTTCGACCTTGCTTTTGGGGGTGGCGAGATAAAACGGTAATTGTGAAATTTTCTTTCCCATGAATCTCGCTTCGCGGTATGGTCATCGATGATGCAAGTATTTTGTGGGAAACTTGGAAAGATGACTGAATCGGGTAGAAGGCCCGGTCGCAATTTTCTATACCCATTGTGCCATATTTCATGATTATCGCTGAAGAATCCGTGATGCTTATCCCTTTAGGATGATTGTTTCCATCCGTGCAGAGCCTTAGTCTCAGGGGTTGCCGTCTGATCGCGTATTCGGTGGAAAAATATCCTCCGGAATTAGCCACCAAAATGCCACATAAAACTCAGGATTCTGGTAGACACAAAAATTTGTAATAAATTTGCCAAGAGACTAAAACCCGTATTTTTGGTTTCATTATACTTTCTAATGCTTCCCAATGCTTCCGTCAAATCCGATATCAAAACATGACAATTAAACCCAAAAGTTGGTCACCAATGCAGTCCCCACGCTCCACCAAAAAAAAGTAGATAAAATGAGATTTCTGTTCTAGATCCTGATTCCTTAGGTACTAACAGCCCGGATGAAATTTTCCCAATGCTCCCCCAAGCCAGTATAGAGTTCTGTTGCCTGACTAGTGATATACAATGTCCCCACAATCGACCTCAGCTTTAGAGTCTCAGATGCAACGTCGGAATGTGTGGACATCAAAGATTCCGGTACAGAGTGCATCAAGCACGCCAAACGTCCTGGGTCCATTTTAAGATCCGTGAGGGCTTTCTCGCAAGCATTCTCCCGATACGTCTGGTGAGTTGCTTCAAACACCACATTGATATCTGGTAAACATTGTCCGGACATTAGTTTCTTGTGAGGGACGGTTCCTGGATTGTGAATGACCTATTCGGGAACGATCAGTCAGTATTAGTACTAGCACTAAAGTATATTGGGAAATGCACGCACAAGAGGCTCTGCTCCTAGACCAGAACTGCCTTTTACAGCAGCGTTAATGTTTGCTAGAAATGTTTCGTTTGAGGCGGACCATTGCTTCGGCGTTTCATCGAAAAATATGCCTCGAACGCCGAGCCCATCATCTTCGAGCCTCCAAGCGGCGTAAGTTTTGACATCTTCTAGAATGTCGGGATATTGCCTGGTTGCATATGCAGTAGAGACATAGCCGACAACCGTAACATTAGGATATGAGTTTAATTGTTGGATTTCTCTTCGGTAGTTACTATCGAGTGATTGTCCAGGGCCATTGTGAGGATTGACCACGATGATGAATTCAAGACCCGGATACGTAGAAATGCTGTTGTTCAGTCAGCCCCAGGATCAATAGTTCCAAACATGCCATCGCTCTCCCCGACTTGCCTTTGAATTAACCGTCCCCATGCACCAGGGGAAGGGTAAATGTAGAGGGGGACGAGAACCTTCGATTTGGTAGGTACCACTGAGGTCTTCTTCTTGAAGAACATCGTCAATTAGGTATGCGATGATGAAATAAATTTACAGGATTAGGCTGCTGCAACCTAACTTCCCTTTCAAGATATTCTGTAGATGTCGCAAAAAGTCCCTAAACAAGGAAGGCAGCCTCAAGCCTCTATATCGAAAGCTTTGTAGCGGCTGACTCGGACGAGGGACTTGCTTTTGAAATTGCACTTCAGCAGTCTTGAAACAACCAGTGTGGCCCAATATGGCACGCAATGTAATCCCGCAAGGTCTTGGTAGTAGTGCGCAGCTGCAATATACAGGCGAGTATTGTGTTGTAACTATAATTATGTACGAGCGTTAGCTGAGCGGTCCAGGCCAGTGGAAAAAGGTATAATATGAAGACGTCTTGAGCCTTGAAACCGACGCATTCAAATACATCGTACCTAACTTCTGCAGGGATTCTACCGATAATATGCCTGGCTCAACAAATTCTTCCACAAATTCGGGTGCTTCCACTCCTGAACTACTCTCTTTTGATAATGAAGACAGTGCTCTCAGCACTCCTTTAACAGAAAAATCCTTATTATTCGACGTCAACGATATCGATTTTGCAGTTAGAAATGCAGTTAGAGATGCAGTTAACGATCAATGGATATTGGTCGTCGGTGGTTTAGGGTTCATTGGTAGTCACACAGTCTGGGAACTAGCCAAAGCTGGATACAATGTAATGATATCACCCACAATTTTTTTGGGTTTCGCTAACAACTTTTTAGGTGGCTATCATCGACAATCTCAGCAATTCGTTTTTAACTGTCTTCGAAAAACTTCAGTTGATGGTCGATCAACATTACAGTGCTCAGCGCAAAAATGGACACCGACCACTACTCAAATTTCACGATGCGGACTTCAGGGACATGAACAAAATGACAACGATACTGGAACAATATGACTATCCAGGCGTAATGAGCTTCGATTCGAGTTCGGTCACTCTTTGCAATGGTCAAAGATCAAGTATCTCCGGCGTCATTCACTTCGCCGCATACAAGGCCGTCGAAGAAAGTATACAACAACCCCTCAAATATTATTCAAACAATGTTGGCGGCCTGGTCGATTTCTGCGCTCTGCTGGAGCAATTTGGGATCAAGAAAATGGTGTTCAGTTCTTCCGCAACGGTTTATGGGACAGTTGCGGATTCTGGGGTGCCACTTCGCGAAGAATACGTGGTGGGGTCAGGATGCTCGGGTCTCACAAACCCCTACGGACGCACGAAATGGATGTGCGAAGCAATCCTGAGCGATCTCGCCAATTCCGATCCCGATTGGGAGATCACTGCACTGCGTTACTTCAACCCGATCGGATGCGATGAATCAGGCTTGCTGGGCGAAGACCCTCGGGCTGCCGCGACGAATTTGATGCCTGTTGTCTTACGGGTGCTCACGGGGGCTCTGCCTGCGCTGAACGTGTATGGTAGTGATTATGACACTCACGATGGTACAGCCGTGAGAGATTATATCCACGTTACCGATCTTGCGCGTGGTCATTTGGCAGCTATCAGCAATCGACCAAGTGGTGGCTTCAAGGTCTATAACCTTGGTACTGGTCAAGGATACTCGGTCCTGGATGTGGTGAACGCAATGGAGAAGGCCACTCAGACAAAGATCCCTACCAATATCGTTGGTAGGAGAGGAGGAGACGTTGGCAAGTGTGTAGCACTAGCGAACAAAGCAGAGGAAGAGTTAATGTGGAAGACGGAGAAAAGTTTAGATGATTGCTGTAATGACCTGTGGCGATTCTTAGAAGGAACCTCAACCACCAAAGGACAAGTGTGTTGATGAGTTTGTGTCGGCGACTTTAGCGATTTTTCTTTACGGATTTCTTGGGGCAAACTTTAATTGCGGAAAATGTATCTAGTATTCTCTTAAATAAAACGTGTCGTGGGCTTATTATATATAATATAAACGGGATTTGATCAAACTCAGCGTCGCTGTGGTGTATCTGAGATAAGGTTGCTTACATAACCTGAACCACGTGCCCCTCGACCGTCCATCAGAAGGAGTATCGATTCTTATATTGCATGTGTGTTGCACGCAGAGCCTGAAATAAGGGAGACAGCTTGTTGGAAAGCGCTCTCGAGGGCGTGAGGGTGCGTTCCGCGTATCCCCTCTTCCTTTCTTGTGAGTATGTAGTTTTCGATTATATATGGTTTTCGATTGTATTGTGGACTGTGCCTTCAAACTCTTTCACTACCTACACATAGTAGTTTCAGGCAAAACAAGTAAAAATCGATTTATTGCAGGATAGAGTTACTTTCAAAACGAAACAATATTCTGCCTTCTCTTCTAGAGACTGAAGGCATGTTAAAATGTCTAGAGTATTGCAAAGTTCGAGAATGTAAGTCTGAAATCTAGGAACACTACTAGGTATATACCTTCTCCTTTTCAAATGAGAGGTATGATGCTCAATTTACACTGCAAAGAATGCGCACCTGATCCTCATTCTTTAGCAAAACTACGCCGAAAAAGCCACCTACGGCTCCAGTCTCACGCGTGTTCATTCTCACCACGGCATTCAGGTAACGTTGCGAAGCTACACGTGAGGATTGTTACATATAAGACAGCGGAGCAGAATAGCATCAAAGTAACGTATATTGAGTAATGTTACAGAGAAATGCCAGAAATGGCTCGTGAGTAAACTATCTACATGATTGGCGGGTATCATCCTTTCTTACGCCATATGCAATATGCACCGTCCCGACCTGTATCCTCCGCTTTTATTCTCCCTTTGATGCAAATCCAACAGAGGCAACCCAAAATGCACAAATTATAGTATACAAATTCATCAAACATACTTAATATACAATGACCATTCAATAACATTCCGTTTTATTGTTGTTTAGCCTAACAACCAGTGTTTAGGACTTTGCGGAGTGCTTCTCTCATTTGTCCACAATTCGGTGCTTTCGATTTTCTTCTCGAGTTCCTGTTTGCTCCTGCGGATCAAGGGTGGATTATATTGTTTGGAGAACATGGGGAGCTCAAATTCATTGCGTGTTATGGATGGAATCCACATGGCTCCCATAGAGACCTGTGCTATAGGTGATGGCTTAGGCATCCAAGTCTTCGCATTGATGAGTACGGGGGGTGGGACTAAGTTGGCTGAGGTCTCAGGAGCACTTGGGGTCAACACTGACTTCGAACTTGAGGTGTCAGACCAGCAGGAGGTATGAAGCCAGTCAATTTCACTTTTGGAAACGAAGCTCGATGTGAATAGCTGTGATGACTCGAGCCTTGCCATGTGTGCATGGAAGGAGGTTGTCAACTTCTGAGGATGCGAGTCATTGCTCTTAGCAAAGATATCTGGACGAGCAATGGCAGCCACTGGAGTTACTTTCCATGTACCGGTGGATGCTTCCATTGCAATCTGTGGGGATGCGCTCCACAACTTTTCGGCTCGCGATAGAGGCTCATCTAGGTCAAGTAGCTCTTCAGAAGTTGTAGAATCTAATTCGAGCATATCCATTATCTCAAGCTCAAGTAGGTCTGATCCTGCATCGATCAGGGACTCGTCTGCAACAGAGATATCAACCAAGTCCTCTTCTGTCATAAATACATCTGCAGCAAGTAGCTCGGCAATCTCCTCTTCGGTAAGAGTTTCTACATCAGTCATCAACTCCTCGAATGTAGGCTCTCTAGGGAGTGGTGTATCATCGTCAACTATTGCTTTTGCAACAAATTCTTCGATCATGGGCTCCATAGAAGATACACGAAGCCAATCAATCTCTGGTTGTGACTTATCCTTAGGCATGAAAAGCTCCGAGGACTCTAGCTGTGGGAGAATGGATGAATGAGTAGCAGATATTCTCTTGGTAGGTTCATACATTAAACTTGAAAACAAGTCCGGAGTGGATGACCCATTGGCAGTCCACATCGTGGAGATGTTCTGCGCGACGACGGGTGAAGTGATAGATGTACGTAGCCAGTGAATCTCAGGCTCACTCTTTTCCGACACTGTATAAAGTTCTGTAGATTCCAGAGATGGGAGAAGTGAAGAACGAGCACTTGAAGGTCTTTGGATACGATCGTGCTTCAAGTTTGCAAACATGTTCGGAATATACTCGACGGTTCTTGTCGATAATTCCCACATCAAAGCATCGCTCTGGTCAATAATCTCAACGACAGGCTTCTGGAATAGAAGATTGCGGGTGACCTTAGGCTTGCTCGAAGAATGTAGCCAACTTCTTGAAATGAGGGAAGCTGGGGATGGTTGCCAAAGCTCATAAGATTCCAACGTAGACAATTCAAGATCCTTTTGCGCAATAAGTCTTCGAGAATGGTCGAGTGTTAACATCTCAAATTGTGGCTGAGTATCGCAAACAGACTTTGATGGTTCTGTCCATAGACCACTGTCTACGACTGACGTCATGCTTGTCGATTTGGGGACCCAGAGACTAAACTCAGAAATTGGATGAGAACTTGTGATGGTGCAATGTCCGATGCAAGAAGGGTGAATATCCATTGTAGATGAAATGAGAACATCAGCGAAGAAGACTGGGTGAAGAAGAGCAGAATCGAATCTCGGATCTTGAACATATTCCAAGGCCGTATTATAAACATCGCTGGCACTCAACACCATGGATTCTGTGAAGAATTCTGGGTGAGGAGGTGAAACATCATAGCTAGGAAGAACACTTTCAGTCATTACCACAGTATCTCTCTGAAGCTCAACAACATCAGACCTCTCTAATTCCTTCGGAATTCCCGCAGCAATAGCCTCTTTCAGCGCGTCTTTCCACATAAAAGCAAACACCGTTGGACGTTGCACACGTGTCGTATCGGTGTGCACAATTTTTCCCAATGCGCGATCCCAATCATCAACGCTCGCTGTGAGACATAGAAGTTTTGTGTGTCCAACAGCAGCAGGATGAATATTGTCCACATCTGAGACGAGAGTTTCGGTGAAGAAAACAGGGTGGAGGATTGCGGGATTATAGATAGCGGAATAGGTTGGCCCGGTGGTATTTTCTGCAATGGGTTCTATGAGGTCCAATTCTAAGAGATTCAGAGATATCTGGGGCTCTTCGATAGTCGGTGGTGTTCCGAGAGTTATAGCCTCGTTTAGAGAAAGATCCCATTCGGCAGATGCTGTCTTAGATCTGGGTAATCCTGCGATGATAGCTTCGTTCAACGCATCGTCCCAGTTGGCACGGAAGGCAACGGTAGATCTGTATTGATGTCTAATAGCTCTGTGAGCTGGCTTGGCTGGTTTCATCGGCACCACAGATCTACGGAATTTCGACAATTGGGGCTTTTCTGAGTTGGGAGGAATTCGTGCCTCGAATATATCTCTGGAAGACAAAACCTTTGACTGCCTGAGTGGTGTTGAAGGCAAAGCTTTTGGGGGAGATCTTGGAGTTGGTTTCAGAGAAGCCTGACGAACAGGTAGCTTCGATTGATACTTGCTTGGGTCAGCAGGAGGTGGCGGTGGTGGAATGACTTCTTCCTTCTTCTTTGCTGAAAGGGTTCTTCGCATGGAAACGGAACCCAATGAAACGGAAGCGAAGGAGAACAATGACGATGCTTTAGTACTCGTTGAAGCGATAGATGACGCATCTGAAATATCAGGTGAAGATCTTCCAGAACTTGTCTCGGATGCTATCGACGGACTAACTGGTCGAATAGAAGATTCCGAAATCCAATCATGATCACGCTTCAGGTGCAATAAGCATGGTTGACGCCAAAGCTTATTGGATACCAAGTTTGAAAGGGTTCCCGGTACACTTCTTACTTTGGATGTCAAAACCAATGCGGCTGGCTCCAGCTCGGTCGTGCGATAATTGGTACGAGATGATCTTGACTGAAATAGACCTTCGATGATCTCACCAGCAACGACCGGAGTTGGAGTCCACATAAAAGAGCGACTAGCGGCAACTGTCAATGAAGCTGGTTTAATCGCACTTGTTAAAATCCAGTTCTTGCTTGTGCGTGGCACAAATTCTTCGATTGACCACAACTTATCGGAAGAAAGTACCGAAAGTGTGGATGAGTTTACCCGCTGGACCTTCTTGATATCAAGTGCAGCCGGTGTTTGCGTGGTTATGCGGAAATCTTGACGCTTGGATTCGATAGAGAATAGACCATAACTTGGAACTTCAAAAGAAACCGCTGGAGGAGTCCACATGAGACTTCTAACAGTGATAGGTGGCGATTGAGTTTCAAAGCAAAGTTCCATATCTGACTCTAGCTCCTCAGAAACATCACTGTCCTCCTCATTCCAAAGGCTGTGGGTCGAAATTTCAGGTACTGAAAGCGACGGTTGAGATTTCGTTCGAATAGTGTCTTGCGATGATGGGATATAAGATTGCCAGACATCCGAAGTTGGTTGAGGCAAACCATACTCGAACCCCTTGGTGCTCGGTGACGGAGCATGATCCCAAAGTAGCGAGTCTTCAACTAGAGACCTGGAAGAATCACCCGAAAATTCGAACAATTCTTGGGAGCTCTGTTCATCCAACACGACGAGTGGTGATGCCACGTTAGAAATAACCATATCCTCGGAGTTCATGATATCTTCCTGAGAAAATATGATGGTCGAGTTTCTAGCCTCATTATAGTCTCCATAAAATTCGTTATTGAACTCCTCATAATCTTCATTTTCCGAGCTGAAATCAGTCTCTGAACTCGTCTCATAGTCATCATAATCTTCAATGATATTCTGGGGAGACTTTGGTGGTGGCAATAAGCTATCTTTTGAAGGAAGATCGGTAGTCTTGAGCATGCTTGCAATTTCCCATAAAGTGGTCTCGTCGAAATCGTCATCGCTTTCAGTTTCCATC